TTTTGGATTATGTATTGAGCTCCATGGAGGATGGTCATCAGGTTGATGTGGTGTACACGGATTATTCCAAAGCGTTCGATCGAATAAATTTTGACATTTTGATTGAGAAATTGCATGGACTTGGGGTCCACGGTGATTTGCTGCGATGGCTTGAGTCTTATGTTAGAGATCGCAGTCAGGCTGTGACTTTCAATGGTTTTTGTTCATCATTTGCACCTGTTCCCTCGGGAGTTCCTCAGGGCTCTCATCTCGGTCCTATGTTATTTAATATATATGTCAATGACGTTTCGAATGTTTTCAGGAAATCCAAATTCATTATGTACGCTGATGACAAAAAAGTATATAAAGTTATAAAGTCCTTAAACGACTGTTTGGAATTACAGGATGATTTGAACAACTTATTTGTTTACTGTCAAAATAACTTACTCACAGTGAATACTAATAAGTGTACTATTATAACATTCTCACGTGGAAGATCGAATATCTTGTATGACTATTCTATTAATGGTCAAACTTTGGTACGCACCACAGTTGTTCGTGATTTGGGTATTTATTTGGATTCCAGTTTGATTTTTGATTTTCATGTTAATGAAATAGTAAATAAGGCTTTTCGAATGTTAGGCTTCATACTTAGAGTTGGTAAAGACTTTAAAAGACCATCTACTTTGATTCTGTTGTACAACAGTTTTGTACGGTCTATATTGGAATATGGCTCCGTCACATGGAACCCCCAATATAATATTTATATTCAGCGACTAGAAAGAGTCCAAAAAAAGTTTTTTAAGCATCTTTTATACCATTGTCGTCGCTTTAACTCTCCAGAACCGACAGAATTTGTCTCTCTAGTCGATCGCAGGCTACTGAGGGATCAAATGTTTTTATATAAAATAATAAATAACGAGATTGATTCTAGCTATCTTCTTTCCAAAATTTCATTTAAATGTAGTCGTATTTCCGCGCGTTCTAAACAGACCTTCCACATGTCCACGGCTCGAACGAAATATGCTTCTAACTCTTTTGTCCGTAGATCTTGTAGGTTGTATGATGCTAAGTTCTCTAATGCTGATATCTTTTACTTGTCACTTGTAGCATATAGAAAAGCTGTTTTGGAGTGTTTATAGGGTGATTTGGCCCGATAAGTGTTGTAGTTTTATAGTGTGAGTTAATGTATAAAACGATATGTGCGTATTGTGTTGCTTTTGTTTTTTTGTAATTTGAATTTCTAAATTTTTCTTCTTGTTCACTGTCTACTTATATGTGATTTTAATTGTGGAAACATATTTGGTTATTGTTTTAGCTATTTTTTTTTTAAATATTGTATGTTTTGTATTGTACTGTTTGTTTCCCAAATAAATAAATAAATAAATAAATAAATAATACCTAAAAAAACAAATGGTAAGGGACTCCTCAAAGCTATAAGTAGAATCAACGAACCATCACAAACCACTGTCGTATTAGGTAAAAATGTGCGTATCATTAGAATAGTTATAATTTAATTCGTGGTATTTCGTACGGAAGGCGATACATACATACTTATATACGTTACTAGCTGTACCCGTCTGCCTCGCTGGGCATTTAAAATTAACATTATTATTTCTCACTCCGACAAAAAATTCTCATCATTAACGCTTCCGAAACTGGTGTAGGGAGTCCAACACTCATATAAATATTAGCCTATCCATTAAGTATATGTATTTTCTACATGGATACCAAGTTTCAAGTCAATCGGATCCATGGTTCAGTTGCTATAACGGAACATCCGTAAAAACCAATGTAGATTTATATATTAGTATAGATTGTCATATGTACTTGCTTCGGCAGTACATATACTAAAATTGGAACGATACAGAGAAGATAAGCATGGCCCCTACGCAAAGATGACATGCAAAATCTTGAGGGGTTCCACATTTTTAAATCCTGTGGTAGATTCTGCGAAGCACTGCTCTTGCTAGAGCCAGTATTAGCAATAATCCGGTTTGAGCCCCGTGAGCTCACTTACATGTTAGGGCGAAGCTGAAATACCCTCTCAAAGCTATCAGCATAGGCAGGAATTTTTTTTTGCCCTACTATGACTTTTTTCTAAATCATTTAAATTCGGATTGTAGTGGTAAGATCGTATTGTTTCTATTTGTAATTTTGATGAATCGGAATTAATATTACATACAAAATTTTAAAATACAAACATAAAATTCATTTTTTTTATATGAGTATATACTAGTGGATGCCGGTATAATTCTAAGCAGCCTACACGAAAACTCTTTGTAACGCTTTTTTTGGTACCAGAAATCACTTCCATCTTTCCTTTTCCCCTTTCCCTTCCTTTTGGGAGGTGTTGGAGTGGCAGGGAACCGAACCGCCCCCTCAATCACCACCCAATCCGTACCGTTTCAACACCAAGTTTCATCATATCCAAAAGTTATTATATATCAAAGTATATTCTCACAGCAAGCTTAACATTATATCACTTATTCATAGTAATAGTACAGATATTTCCTTTGTGAATAAACAATAGATATTTTCATACATTCATAATGTCTGGCTGACATCCAAGACGGACTGGAGTTCGAGTCGCGAACGCTTTGGGATTTGACTACATTGAGCATAAGTGGCTTGTTGAACAATAAAAACACATTAATATATTCTACAATTCTCCTTGTTTATTCTTTTATCAGTTGAGCCTTTAGGTAAACTAGCGAATTCTGTGTATCGGACTTTGTAAGCCCAGAGGATATTCAATTAATAGCACCCGCAAAAATACGAAAAGGTGATTTTTGAGAAAAATTTGCATGATTTATCAATTGGACACTATCAGACACCTGTTATTATATACATGCTATTATAATTTTTTCGTTACAATTACATCTCATCAACTATTTCTCTAAAATAGCAATTCCATTGAAAAAAATATTTGAATATAAATATTGAATAAAAAAAATATTTATATAATAAATAACATGGACAAATTACGCATGGTCGTCTGGCCCTAAATTAAGATTCCCCGTGTTATGGGTACTAAAGGCTGATATACATTTTTTTTTATTGCTTAGATTGGTGGACGAGCTCACAGCCCACCTGGTGTTAAGTGGTTACTGGAGCTCATAGACATCTACAACGTAAATGCGCCACCCACCTTGAGATATAAGTTCTAAGGTCTCAGTATAGTTACAACGGCTGCCTCACCCTTCAAACTGAAACGCATTACTGCTTCACGGCAAAAATAGGCAGGGTGGTGGTACCTATCCGCACGGACTCACAAGAGGTCATACATACTTATATTCACTTAAATATATACATATATGTAGATAATAAGCACCCAGACAAAGGGATAACAAACCTGTTAATCATACAAAGGTTTGCCCGATATAGGCATTTCCGAAAGCTAATCCGTATATATTAAAAATCAGTTACGTTTTTTAACGTAAGTACACAGGCCAATATACTTCGGTCCATGCAGAATAATTTAAGCAGCAAAGGAACCTATAAACAACATAACTTGAATACCTTACTAGAACGGAACACGTACAAAAAGTAAAGAACGTATAACTAAACTACAACAACAACAGAACAAGAACAAAGAAAAGGAGTAACTTGACTAAGATAAATTGCCCGTGAGGAGTTATGCAAAACCCTAACCGAAAATGGGAATATGGCGGATTATTTCGAACTTACGGATGGACGGATAGATAGTGAGTGGTCTATTGGTGGACGCGATATTTCAACCAGATTCTATCGCCTCAACTGACATTAGAGGATTTGGGGGTAGAAGAAGAAACAAATAAAATCCCTATTCCTATTTGCTGGTAGGTTAGGAAGCTATTCAAACTACGCCGACAGATAGGTGAACTCACGGGCTCAACCTGAGAGAATTTGCTAACACTAGCCCTAGCAAGAGCTTCGCAGAATCTACGACCGGATCGGAATCGGACCCACTGAAAAGATCCGGCAAGAAACTCAGTGTGCTTTGTCTATGGATCAAACAATCTCTGTTCAGTGCACGCAAGCATTAAAATCACGTTGATACCAAAATCAAAGCCAAATACATTTTAACATACGTGGTTTTGTTAAAGACCTCGCGCGATCTTCACATCGGCCGTTTCTCTGACCTTGACATATCGTCTCACTATCATCATCACACTATAACATGAATAAAACTAAAATATCGTGTTGTAAACAAAAAAAAACTGGTTTCAGAGCTCAGAGGTATATGGAAATTTTGTAATTTCGAATATTGATCGACTATTAATTTTTGGGCGACATTGAATTTTTAATGTTATTGCGAATTTTAATAATTAATTTATAACTTGTTGAGTTTCTTCATTAATCTCAGTTTATTTTATATGATAATTTTTCATAATCGTTTTTATTTCAAAAGTTCGTCTCATTTCAAGCCTTTAACTACAATCACGAGAAGAAATAGAGTGGTGCTTATTTAAGGAGACAGACAGGGATATTAAGGGACAGTTGCTTATTATCTATAGCAGTAATAGTAACTGGATGTGCTACTATATCTATACTTGTCCATCCAGCTTAGTAGTAAAGAATGCAATCATTATGTTCTTACCAGATATGGTGCGCAGTAACACGAATATTAAATTTTACAATACTTTCGTATCAAATCAGCTTATCCCAAAAAAGACAGCTATTCATAGTTAAGCTCTATTAAAGAATTTCTAAAACAATCTTCAATTTAATCTCATTTTATGCTGGAATGAACAATTTGATTATTTTTTATTGCTTATATGGATGATCGCAATCATGGACCAACTGATGTTAACTGGTTTCCGGAGACCATAGACATCTACAACGTAAATACCGCCACCCACCTTGAGATATAAATTTTAAGGTCTCAGGTATAGTTACAACGGCTGCCCCGCCCTTCAAACCGAAACGCATTACTGCTTCACGGCAGAAATAGGTAGAGTGGTGATACCTACCCATGCGGACTCACAAGAGGTCCTACCACCAGTAGATTTACTAACCGGAAATTTTCTTTGTTACAGGAAGAAAACATAGCATTAAGACTAATAAAACAGCACTCTGACGTGGACGAACCCGAAAGTAGTCCAGCATCGCCGGAGATAACGTATGAACCCGGGAGCACTAGGAAAGCTTATTTCGATGAGCTGGGCTATGTCGCCGGAGGATCGAAAGACTCTGATCCCTACATCAAGAACAGATTCAATCAGGCCGCATCCGATAATCTGCCCAGTAATCGCGTTATACCGGACACAAGGAATCCTATGTACGTAAATATTTTCAGTGCTATCTATGCTAATATATACATCTACAGTGGTTTTTACGGATGTTCCGTTATAACTACTGGACCATGCATCCCATTGACTTGAAACTTGGTATCCATGTAGAAAACACATGTACTTAATGGATAGGCTAACATTTATATGAGTGTTGGACTCCCTACACCAGTTACGGGGGCGTTAATGATGAGAATCTTGTGGGGGTGAAAATAATAATGTTAGTTTTAAATGCCCAGCGAAGCGGACGGGTACAGCTAGTTGACCAATAAAGCAAAATCTCCCTACGGATTTTGCGCAATGACGTTAGCAAAGTAAAATATTTAATTTGTGCTAAATTTGCGTAATGAGTCCTAGTAGCGGATGATACCTTAGATATTCCTTTCGCCCACCATATCTTGTCTCAATGGGCTTTGAGTTCCACTCGCTAACTGGTGCAAAATAGCTCATTTCCATTAAACGAATCACAATAACCTTCAAACTAAACCATCAATAAAAACATTCAAACTTAAATGTTTGTGTTGTGTTATATAAAAAATAATTCCAAGCCTCTCATATATTGAGAACAGATAATAATAATAACTTGGGACAAAAAACAGACACGGTCATTCGGCCTCACTTTAAGATTCCCTGTCTTATGGGTATCAGAGACTGATAAATGTGCTTATATATGTTTTAATATATTATACATAAATAGATAATAAGCACCCAGACAAAGATAAAATGAACCTGTTCGTCACACAATGATTTCTCGATATTGGAATCGAACCCACGACCCTGAATGCAACAGTCAGGGCCACTAACTACAGCATCACCAACTCAGTTAAATAGATCTTTAGGATTTTGGTAAAAGTTATCTATACTAATATTATAAAGCTGAAGAGTTTGCTTTTTTGGTTTGAACGCGCTAATCTCAAAAACTACTGGTCCTATTTGAAAATTCTTTCAGTGTTAGATAGCTCATTTATCGAGGAAGGCTATAGTCACGGTAAGACCAATACAAGTGGAGAATCAATAGAGAATGATTCAAAATAGAGGTTTAAATAGCCCCTTAACATACTATAATTCAAAAATATTTTCAATTTCAACGTAAATGAAGTGGGGGGTAAAATTTAGCGTTATGCCCAAGTAATATAACTATTACACGCGGACTGAGTCGCGGGCAAAGGCTATTACTTATATATTTTCTCACTCATGTTTGATCGATTTCACATAGTTCTCATGGTGACGTGTTATCAATACTCGTAAAACTGTAGACTGTTTTAGTTTGAATACTGGTATTTGACCTTCAGAACAAGTCCGCAACCTCATAATATCTATTGACTTTTCTGACACTGATGCTCCTTAAGTGTAGCTGTTCACTTGCATGTGCTAATTAATGTCATAAATTGACCTAAATAGTTTTAAATGTTTTAAGTGACGCCGCATTTGAGGAAGCATTTGTCGAGAATTAGTTGGTGAAGTCTTAATACTCGTAAAGTATTATCATTTATGATTAATTTAAGGACGTATTATTTAAAAAAATATTAGCTAGTATAATTAGAAAAGGGATTAGATCCTTTAATCTTTAATGGATAACTATAATATACTGGTGGTTGGACGTTTTGTGAGTCTGCACGGGTAGCCTATTTTTGTCGTGAAGCAGTAATGCGTTTCGGTTTGAAGAGTAGAGCAACCGTTGTACTCTAAAAACGGAGACCTTAGAACTCATGTCTACGTGTCTAAGTGGCTACATATTACAAAAAAGGTCACATGTGGCGCATTACGATGCTCGGCAATGAGCGATCTACTGAAGGAGGAGGAGGACTCATGTCTCGAGGTGGGTGGCGGCATTTACGTTTTAGATGTCTATGGGCTCCGGTAACCACTTAAAACCAGATGTACCCGTGAGCTAGTGAGCTCGTCCACCCATCTAGGCAATAAAAATTGAAAATTTAATAAAATATTTAACTTAGTAGTAGTGAGATATTAAAATATACCTATATTAATAACTACCAATATATTTGGTTATTTTTCCAAAGTGATCCAAAATATAATGAAAGCTACTTTTAAGGCAGTGAACTGACCTCCATTATCAGCGTAAGGTCAACAAGATGCAGAGGTCGCCACACAAACGTGACATTTCATAACACAGTTACGCGTATGACTACATAGGTAATGTTGGCTCGATCCACGGGCAAATTTACTGACGGTACATTTGCTTAATGTAGGATTAAATAATTCGCTTCGTTAAACCAATATCTGCTATTTGCAAATCTTTCTTTTTCATATATGAAAATTTGGTTAAACAATCCATGATATGATTCAAACTGTCGAATCTCCAAAAGTGCATATAGCAGGTCTTAGTTTAGCAACGGCGCTAAGAGAATTCATTATAGAAGAGAATACATTTTAACACGTTCACTGCGGAACAGGCCCAAATCAGCCTGCCGCGGAATTTCACCTGGTGCGGACGAAGAAAACTATGTCCCTCTCGCTGGTGCGGAACGATTATCTCAGGTGTTTGTAAAGGTACGACAAAGACAAATATATATTTGAGATTGTGGTCAAAAGTATAGGTGTTCCCTATAAAAACATCACGGCAGGCCTTTATCGGCCTATCACGCACTGACGGTAAAAAATATCAACTCGGTGCGGGAGGAGGCCTATTGTGGCCCGCCGTCCCAACAGGCTGTTGGCGGCCCGATACCGCACAGAGCGCCCGCCTCGCCAGTTAGTGTTGGGCAAGCTATCGGAACTGACGTACGTCACGTTTTTTTTATTCCTTAAAATTAAAGGCACGATGTCAGGCAACAAAAGAAAGATAAATATTTTGGAAAATAAATTAATTTGCGGTGCAGATAGTGATAGTGACAGCAGTCAGAAGATATTTTCCTTCAAGAAAATGAAAAACTGCGGGAAACCATGAAGAGTTCCGAGGTGAAAAGGAAAGTAAAAAAAATTAAAACATACTGCAGAATGTGCAAGCAAAATCTTTGTGCGAAATGTTTTAAAGACAGCCATTAATAAATAATTAAATAAACAATTTTTATTTCTTTACTTTAATTCTGTTTTATTTTCGATATCCCCTTATTTTTGTCTTTCCCATCACTACTAAAAATACTTTCTAGTGCGGTTCTGGTCGATATCGACCCGCCACTTTCCCTGGTTTATTTCTCATTTTCTGTTCGGCAGATCCCGGGGCGAATCAAATCTAAAGAAGTTGGGTTCAAGGTTTTTCCAACAGTCCAAAAACTGTTCACCTACATTATGTTTTCGCAAAGTTATAGCAATTTAATCTAACCTTGTGCTGACGTGTCGAAAAAGACCTACCACGCACTGGCGGAAAAATCATTGGGGGCACAATTTGGCCCACCGCCGCACCAGACAAAGGTTTAAGATTTTACTTGCCGCAGCGAACGTGTTAAAATCAGGATCGTTCAAGGAATTAGTGGGTGTTTGAATTGGATCAAGCGTTAGAATACTTACTTCGACCGCGGTCAGATAATGAGGAGCAGTTGCTTGTAGCATTTCTTGAAAATACCATGAAGTTGCCAAAAATCCCACCTCTACATAGCCAGCCATTCTATATAGCTAGGATTCAGAGTAGCAACGAAACGAAGAGACTAAACTAAACGATGAGGAAACCAGGGAAGATAGCCTAAAGGTTAAACTATGCTTATGGTATCAGCTAACACAAAACAATAGGAGCGGTAGGGATTGAGACTTTCCACGCAAAACAGGGAACGATAACAGAATTGGTGCTCCATGCTCTAAGGAACATTCATTTAGAACGGAATCTACCATGTTATTTATGGCTCCAATAATAAGCTCAGCAGATCAATCTTCCTGATCAGATTTGCCGTCGGTTATCAAAACTACAAATTTACACCTAAAAACGTAAACAAAATAAAAACGAACATTGTAATGTTTTATTAAACCAATTACTCTTCTGCCAAACTCAAGGTTTTTGTATGTAACTTCAAAACAATGATTTCTAAATTGCTTCATGAATGTAGCTTTAATTGTTATCTCAAACGTTAGTACTAACATTAATCTTTACGATTATACATTCACCTTCGATGTCGTTTTAGAAGCAATGTGTATTTATTTTCTGAAACGTGTGAATGACCAGTGGAAAATGCAAAAAAGAGTTTGCTGTCTTTTGTGATCAGTTTCTTGCCAAGAAATTCCACGTTGAGTTAGATTTGCAAAACAAATATAGATCGTTTTTTTTTTGCTTTTAACACTAGATCCCACGATGTTGTAATGATATGTTATGATATTCGCAGCACATTAGAACCTCATTTGGATAATTACAAATATTTTAAGGTAAATATTGGATGATTACACATATTTTAAGAATAGCCAAGGTCAGAGTTTCCTTCTATGATGCGATTATCAACAAACCGAATTTCATGTATGTACCATATTGTCAATCTGTATGTCTTCTTCTCTTCTTCTTTGTCGTTTCCTCATTACTGAGGGTCGTGACCACCTTGATCCAGTTTTTGCACCAGCTTCCTCCAATGTTGCCTCCATTCGGCCTGCTTAATGGCGCCCGGGACGCTGCTGTTTGTGGCCTCCTTGATAATGTACATCCACCTAGTTGGCAATCTTCCTCGACTTCTCTTTCCTTCCACGTGACCTACAACTATTAATTTTTCCAAGTTCTCGGGATTTTGTCGGGCCACGTGTCCGAAGTACTTATATAAAGTATGTACAGGTACATAAAACATTCTATTTCTCTCTCGAAGTAATTACGGTTCTTTCAACTACCAAAACTAATGCAATTGGTATTCGCGTTGTAAATTGTAATCTATTCTTATGTGAACAGCGACTATAACTTGAACCCCGATCTCACTCTGACACATCATTGCAAGTTGGAAACTTTGCAAATCTCTTGAGAATTAATGAGGCTACATTAACTTATTCACTTACTTTTTTATTTCTAGGATGAGTAGACGAAATCACGTCCCACCTGGTGTTAAGTGGTCGGCGGAGCCCATACAAATTAACCACGATAATGCCGTCGCCTATCTTAAGACATGAGTTCTAATTCTCAGTTTTTACAGTAGGTACAACGGCTTCACGGTAGAGATAGGCAGGGTGGTCTCGCACCATCCGTGCGGGTTCAAAGACGACTTGCCACCAGCAAAAACATGAGAATGTATTACTGAAATCATTACATTGAAGAAATACATAATATGTATAAATTTTAAGCGAATCGTGTCATATTTTTAAAGGTTATTAACTTCAAATTTAATTTAGAAACTTCAAAATCAATTTTATAAACGTCAAATAAAATTTTGTAAATATCAAATTAAACTTTGTAAGCACTAAATCATCAAAAAACACCAATTTCTACTCCAGGCTCAAAATTTTTATTTATTAATCTTATAAAATTAACAAAACTAAATACAAAAAAAAAAAGAAAACGCAAAAGATACACATATCAATCAAATGTCTTAAAGTCATTGAGTTTGAAATTTATAAAATTGAATTTGCAGTTAGAAAACCTATAAATTAACCTTACAATATTTCATTGAAATTAATTAATATTCTAAAAGCGATCGAAGTTGAATCTGGCGCATTACAGAATTAATAATAATGTGCTTTCTGTTTGTAGGTGCCGTCTCAAGAAATACGATGAAGATCTTCCGGAGACCAGCGTCATTATCACCTTCCACAACGAAGCAAGGTCTACATTACTCAGAACCATCGTCAGGTAAATAAATGTCTTAATATAAATAAGTTTATTATTATAACCAGATTTGAAAAGCTATTTGGTTTAAAAGACATTTTTGCAATTTACAGGAGAGCCATTTAAAGTAAAAAATTTGGAAAACATATCATAAAAAAAGCATATTCACCTATTTGAATGGGGTAAGCTTAATTGAAGTTAAATTAAAAACATCGAACTGTTGATGCTAATACCAAATAAAACGAACCTTTAATTACAATTGCTTAGATGGGTGGACGAGCTCACAGCCCGCCTGGTGTTAAGTGGTTACTGGAGCCCATGGACATCTACAACGTAAATGCGCCACCCACCTTGAGATATAAGTTCTGAGATCTCAGTATATTTACAACGACTGCCCCACCCTTCAAACCGAAACGCATTACTGCTTCACGGCAGAAATAGGCAAGGCGGTGGTACCTACCCGCGCGGACTCACAAGAGGTCCTCCTACCATCAGTAAAAAAATATTAATGGTTATTAATAGAAATGACACTTAAACCAAGTGGCTTTTCACACCTCGATAAGTAATGAACGAAGTTACGGTAATCGTTTCTAATGTATTATTGTATTAACCAGCTAACTCCAACCTAGCTTTGCTGTGTGTTATCTGATATTAATATTAGAATTGGATTTTGTTAAAAGTTTGTTTATTTACATATTTATTTAATACTAGCTGACCTGGCAGACTTCGTAGTGCCTCAATCGATAAATAAAACACCTAAACTAAAGGAATCCGTTCAACGGGGGACACATCAAAAGAAAAACAATATTATTTTTATTAAAGCCGAGCATTTTCATATGTATCTATTTACCTTTTAAACCTTCCCTGGACTTCCACAAATAATTTAAGACCAAAATTAGCCAAATCGGTCCAGCCGTTCTCAAGTTTTAGCGAGACTTACGAACAACAATTCATTTATATACATATATAGTTATATAGATTTTATTTACGTGGAACTAAATAAACGCACATTTCGTCACTTAGGTAATCGATACGATATACCTATTAGCTATTTATGGAGACATCACACTTCTTCTCGCTTCGTTTTCCTCAATACTGAGGGTCGTGTGTGAGTTTATTCTGGATCATTCTACGCCATTTGCTCCTATGGTCACTGGAAAGATAGAGGGAAGAAGATCACGAGGTAGAAACCCGACACGTTGAACTGACCAGATCCGCACATATAAATATTAGACATATATCCTTAATTAAATATTTAGTTGTTTTTGTTAATGATAGAATAAAACACCAGCCAGATGGTCAGGTCTACTAAGAGAAGCACTTGGTTGTAGTTTTTTTTTTTTTTTTTATTGCTTAGATGTGTGGTCGAGCTCACAGCCCACCTGGTGTTAAGTGGTTACTGGAGCCCATAGACATCTACAACGTAAATGCGCCACACACCTTGAGATATAGTTCTAAGGTCTCAGTATAGTCACAACGGTTGCCCCACCCTTCAAACCGAAACGCATTACTGCTTCACGGCAGAAATAGGCGGGGCGGTGGTACCTACCCGTGCGGACTCACAAGATGTCCTACCACCAGTAATTACGCAAATTATAATTTTGCGGGTTTGATTTTCATTGCACGATGTTATTCCTTCACCGTGGAAGTCAATCGTGAACATTTGTTGAGTACGTATTTCATTAGAAAAATTGGTACCCGCCAGCGAGATTCGAACACCAGTGCATCGCTCGATACGAAGGCACCGGACGTCTTATCCTTTAGGCCACGACGACTTCGAAGTCGACTTAGTCTGTAGCATGCGGTCCATGCCGCCCATAATCGAACACAGTGGAATAACAGCACATGTGGTTGCGATCCTCAGTAGTGAGGGAACGATGTAGAAGAAGAGTTAATGATAAGCAAATTTGACCAGCGCGCTACTGTTAGCTAAGCGACGATTTTGACCTTATGACCACATATGACGTCATGATAATGAGTTTTATTCACATTACAGCGTTCTGAACAGAAGTCCCGAACGTCTCATCAAAGAAATTATACTGGTTGACGACTTCAGTGATAACCGTAAGTGTGCATTATTTAAAAAAAAGGGAATTAGTGTTTGTTCGTTCTACATTAAACAAGTAACTGAAAAAAAAAACAAAAATATAGACCAATAAATAAATAATTTGATAGATATTCCACACGTTTATCTGGCCTCAAATCAGGTTTTTCCCAGAACTGACAAACATCTGTACATATAAATAAAATTGGAGTGTCTGTTTGTAATATTGAAATATCCGCTTTTTACTACACACATATAAATATATTTAAGATACATACACCAAAACAACATTTTTTACAATTTTTGTCTGTCTGTTTGTTCCGGCTAATCTCTGGAGCGGCTGGACAGATTTTGACGAGACTTTCACTGATTGGTAGTTGATAATATAAGGAGTACTTTCAGGCTACTTTTTTAGACTAGCTTCGACAATAACCGCGTGTAACATCGCGGGACTTAGCTATCAATAATAAAATTTAATGTTTCCGAAGCGAAGCGAGGGCTGGTCGCTATAATTTATATACGATAAAATCTATTCATGTACACTAAAAACTGTTGAACTGTTCAAATCGAATCCAAAAGCAGTGAATTCACTAAATACTGCGCTACCTAATCAATGAGACAGTCTAATTAATTGGTAGCAGCAAAGTATGATATTAGAACAAATCTGTAAACTGTGTAATACACACAATAAATTCAAAGTAAATCAAATCAAAAGAGACTATGATTGTCTCTTTCGCCAATCGCATGTTTGAAAACGCCCTAACTTTGTTTTTATTTTACTGGTGGTAGGACCTCTTGTGAGTCCGCGCGGGTGGGTACCACCACCCTGCCTATTTCTGTCGTGAAGCAGTAATGCGTTTCGGTTTGAAGGGTGGGGCAGCCGTTGTAACTATACTTGAGACCTTAGAACTTATATCTCGAGGTAGGTGGCGCATTTACGTGGTAAATGTCTATGGGCTCCAGTAACCACTTAACACAAGGTGGGCTGCGAGCTCGTCCACCCATCTAGCAATAAAAAATAAATAAAAACTATTCCATTTGTTTTACCTACTCCTTATGTCGCTCTCTCATTACTGAGGGTCATGACTTCTCAGCTGCATCATTCTCTCATGTACAATTGTTATCCGGCGATCCATGGCCTCGTAGAGGGCATCGTGGAGCTTGATGTCCAGACAAGATTGAATTTGGTTCGGACCATCTCACGGGACTGCCCTCTACTGGTGGTAGGACGTTTTGTGAGTCCGCGCGGGTAGGTACCACCACCCGGGCTATTTCTGCCGTGAAGCAGCAATGCGTTTCGGTTCGAAGGGCGGGGCAGCCGTTGTACTGTTAAAACCTGGGACGTCACAACTTATGTCTCGAGGTAGGTGGTCGCATTTACGTTGTAGATGTCTATGGGCTCCGGTAACCACTGAACACCAGGTAGGCCGCGACCTCGTCCACCCATCTAAGCAGTTAAAAAAACTTGCCTGGCGTTTTACAACAAACAGAATACCTACTTAATTTTATTTTTGTCATTAAATAGTGTCTTCTAGGTAGCATCAGCGTTCAATGATCAAAATTAACATCGCAATTACGAACAGAACCTCTAAAAACAAAAACATTGTTACAAATTTCACAACGAAAACTAATTTTGTGCGATGTGAAATGAATTGTTTACAGTGTCTATTGTTCATTTCGTGATTGTATTATATGAGAACTGTTCTGAGTCCATAGTTGTAAAACATTTCATAAGAATCTCAGATCAGATTTGCCCAGACATTTTATCTCACTAATATCATATGTATGTTTTGAGGAAGGCCTGAAACTCTCTAGCTCCGGTGTCCAGAAATACGGAATCTATATATTAATACGTGAAGCAAAAACTTTGTATCCCTTTTTACGAAAATTGCGCGGACGGAGGAGTATGAAATTTTCCACACTTCACATTTTCATAGTATTTATTGTCTTAAGAAAATGTCAGCTGTGAATTTGTATTAATCTCTAATCTTTAATGACTACTTTTTTTGTTATTAATCTTTATACATACTAGAGGTCCCGCAGTAGTCGAAATTCGACTATAATTAATTGGAATTGTAAGTTTGTACACTATTATGATTGTATTTTATACTTCTATAATCACAAATTTCGCCAAGACTACACTATAAAAAATATTAACAAAAACAAACAATATTTAATCTCAATTTGACAACAGACGTCAAGAACAAAAGTTGGACAATAAATAGTATGCATGCGTGTGTGCGTCAAATATATGGTATATAGTGTGTGTAATGTTTTCTTTATTGATTTAATGTATCTTTTATGCATTATTTTAAAAAAAAATTAACATTCTGCACTCCTTCTCTATATTCTCTAAAGTGTGGGAAATTTCATACTCCTCCGTCCGCGCAATTTTCGTAAAAAGGAGTACATTTTTTTTCTTCGCGTATTAATATACAGATAATTATTTCTAGAATACTTTGTCCTCCCGTAAGTAATGATTGTGGGAAACGATTGGTGATATTTTCCTAAAACTAAATCTCCGAAACGTGCAAAATCAATTCAAGTACAATTCACCGGAGCGCCGACTTTAGCTTTCGAGTTTAAAAGCTCGTGAGAAAGATTCGTAAGGATGTAAAATGTGAATAATTTAACTCGCAACAGCGCACGCAAATTCCGAAAGTCGTTTGTCTTGTTCCATTATCAACATACATTTGACTGAATAAATGAGGAATGTTTTTTTTTTAATCAATACTAGTGGACCCGGCGAACTTTGTTCCGCCACACGGTTTGTTTCAAACACATCAACCGGTCAACTTCAAAATTCTACTATAATTAACCATAGATTAAATTACGTTTAGCTGTCAGTTGCGTTTTGTTATTCCATATCAGTTGCGTTTTGTTATACCACTTTTATGTCGCGTCCCACGGGAACGTTATAAAAAGTATCCTATATCCTTCTCCTGCTGGAGTCATGGTCCAGACGGCTGGCTGATCCTTCGGCTGGTCGTAGGACCGTCGAGGCGATTCGCCCGGTCCTTGTGGATTGGGTGAATCGTGACAGAGGACACCTCACTTTCCGGCTCACGCAGGTGCTCACTGGGCATGGTTGTTTCGGTGAGTTCCTGCACCGGATCACAGCCGAGCCGACGGCAGAGTGCCACCATTGTGGTTGCGACCTGGACACGGCAGAGCATACGCTCGTCGCCTGCCCCGTATGGGAGGGGTGGCGCCGTGTCCTCGTCGCAAAAATAGAAACCGACTTGTCGTTGCCGAGTGTTGTGGCATCGATGCTCGGCGACGACGAGTCGTGGAAGGCGATGCTCGACTTCTGCGAGTGCACCATCTCGCAGAAGGAGGCAGCGGGGCGCGTGAGAGACGCACAATCCCGCCGCCGTCGAGCGGGGGCCAGGGAGGCGGATCTCGCCCAAGCCCTGGCCCTCTAAGTGTTTCGGGTCCCCCTCACATGTCGGTCTGGGGACCGGCGAGGGGGGCCTAAGAAGACGACGTGCAAGCTGCTCTGCACGCGTTTTACGCAAGAGCATCCGGGTGATGGAAGGCCGGCTATCCTCGACCCACGCTGGTTCTGGCCCAGCGGGGTATTCCGTAGGGTAACCCACTCTAACCGGCGCCATCTAGGCGGGCTTCGGACAGTCTGCCGACCGAGAGGGCTGGTGGTCGTGGCGCCGACGACCGCCAGTTCGGCGTCCCGAGGGGGAGGGTGATGGGAGAGATGTGCTCCGCACTAAACGCTTCACTTTTCCCCCTTTGCCTTGTCATGAGTTCTGTCTCATGCGAGGTTTGGACGTTGGTTATTGAGCGACAGGAGGTTTTAGTCAGTTCGACTCTGACATACCCCGCCCAGTATCCCCAGACAAGGGCGGAAGTCCGGCGATTTCCTCCGGACCAAAAAAAAAATATCCTTCTCCTGGTTTTAAGCTACCTCCTCACCAATTTTCAGCCAAATCAGTTCAGCCGTTCCTGAGTTATAAGTAGTGTAACTAACACGACTTTCTTTTATTATATAGAGATATGTATTCATAGGATGTTAATTCTACAGTAGATCTGTCAATTCTACAATAGATCGGCTGGCAAACTCATCACTTACTTGATTAAGTTAACGTACCCTGTGTGCCGCTGCATTCTGTAAGCTCGAATTATTACAGCATTGAAATAACTAAAATACTTCTTCACAGCGAAAGATCAGTGATAAAGTGAGGCCACGTCTAAGCATGAAGTGGAAACCTCTATTGTACTGAATAATGACTGCCCCACTCTTCAAACTGGAACTACCCATGCAAGCACACAATAGACATACATCTCTCTATAGTGCTCACCGTCACCACTAGATTAATAGATGTGAACTAGACAAGAAGAGCATGAGATAATCATCGATGCCAATATTTTTTGTAAAGGTGCCTTTCTCTAAATCTTATAAAATTATCAGTCAGACTTTATCTTGTAAAATCCTCTAACGTCGTAGAAGACTACCTCTATTATTCTACTAAGAAGAGTGAATTTTGTTCAATGTGCAACAGCAAATTGCCTAAGTAACTATACCGGCAACATAAGTGGCAATTAAAATTGATTACACATAACTCGGATTACATATGTAGGTACTCACAGTTCACTTAAAATCAAAATGGAATCGGCATTCTTAGCAGTACATAAAACCATAGCGGTGTGACATTTTTTTATTTATTGCTTAGTCGGGTGGACGAGCTCACGGCCTACCTAAAGTTAAGTTGTCACCGGAGCCCATAGACATCTACAACGTAAATTCCAACACCCACTTTGAGACAAAAGTTCTAAGGTGACGCAGTTTTTACAGTACAACGGCTGCCCCACCCTTCAAACTGAAAGGCATTACTGCGTGACGGCAGAAATAGGGTGGTGGTACCTACCCGTGTGGTCTCACAAGACTTCCTACCACCAGTTACTATTGTGTTGAGACCCTTTCGGGCTTAGAGTAAAGCCCTCGTTCTTAAACTTGGGAGTAAATTAACCAAATCTCCTGTCTTCATTGCTTGCGTCTTCCTTACTTACTTTGGTAAAAACCTACATTTCTTTGTCACAGCGGAAGACGGAGCAGCATTACGATCGATAAGAAAGGTCCGCGTAATCCGCAACACAAAACGAGAGGGTCTGATGAGGTCCAGGGTTCGAGGAGCTGACGCCGCAACTGCTCCGGTCCTCACCTTCTTGGACTCTCATGTAGAATGCAACGTACATTGGCTGGAACCTTTGCTGCAAAGGATTAAAGACGTAAGTAAAGAGAGTTATTCTTTTTTTTGGTTTTTTTTTTGCTCCACTTATCATATCCGAACAGAGAGGCTCGTCCCGAAGTCCGTCTGGTGCCCCATAAGTATCACAACGATCCAGTTAGTTCTTGTTTTGCTCCACATAAGACGGTTAAAAGTTTTGGCCTACCTTCATTTGCGGTGAACATTGGAAACGCGCTATGAAATATGCACTACGAATCTTCATTTCTTTCACTTTATATCAAGGTATTACTCATAGAAAATTGGTCGTTGTTATGCATTAACTGTCCTAAAAAAAGCAGTAATAATTTTATAGCACATATTTTAGTTAATGGAGAATGAATTGCCTAATTAATCTCTTCCACGAGATGGAGAAACAACCTGAGTTATCCGCCGGATGCAGACTGCGCTGGATCGATTATTATTGCGAACCTTGGGGAAGGCCTATGTCCAGCGATAGATGTGCGTAGAATAATAAAAAACGTAGTTGACTTTTTTTCAAGTTTCTTTTTTTTTCAAATCTGTGTGAAAGTGATTTTGTTCACATGTAAATTTTATCACGAAAGTCCTCGAATTACGCAACTTTCATCTTTTTCATATATTTGATGCGCGATTGACTTATAAAAAGGAAAAATTACACCTAAATTACAAAACATCAAGTCATAACTTTGCATATTACCGCCATCATCATCGATGGCGGTAATATACCGACAGCTGTCATTCAATGAACGCAATCGGTGACTAATCGACTGATTATCTATTATGTTCCACACTAGAGAGTTGAATTAAGTCGTTTTAACTTGTTTACAACATTTATAAGAGTGGATACATACTGGTACACGAATTTATAACATGTAATTTTATTGAATATTGTATGTTTTTTTAAAATGAATAATTTCGGAAATTATAGAATTAAGTACATAATTGATTATAATTGTACATTAGCAGATTAAGCATCAGATTTTAATCAAATCATAGTTAATCATAATTCCAAATATTATTCACCAAAGAAGTATTTCTTCTTCAAATTTGAAGTCGTCGTGGCCTAAAGGATAAGACGTCCGGTGCATTCGTATCTAGCGATGCACCGACGTTCGAATCTTTACTCTCAGACACAGCCCACTGAGTTTCTCGCCGGATCTTCTCAGTGGGTCGCGTTTCCGATCCGGTGGTAGATTCTGCGAAGCACGGCTCTTGCTAGGGTTCGTGTTAGCAACGTCACCAGGTTTGAGCCCCGTGAGCTCACCTACTAACGTTAGGGTTACGCTGACATAGCCGCTAGGGCTATCAGCTTAGGTAGGAAAAAAAAACAAAAAAAAAAAAGTTCGAATCTCGCAGGCGGGTACCAATTTTTCTAATGAAATACGTACTTAACAAATGTTCACGATTGACTTCTACGGTTTAGGAGTAACATCGTGTAATAAAAAGTAAACCCGCAAAATTGTAATTTGCGTAATTACTGGTGGTAAGATCTCATATGAGTCCACACGGATAGGTACCACCACCCCGCCTATTTCTACCGTGAAGCAGTAATGCGTTTCGGCTTGAAGGGTGGGGCAGCCGTTGTAACTATATTGAGACCTTAGAACTTATATCTCAAGATGGATGGCGCATTTACGTTGTAAATGTTTATGGGCTCCAGTAACCGGTGAGCTGTGAGCTCGTCCACACATCTCAGCAATAAAAAAAAGAAGGAATTTACGTACAAAAGTCCACCACTTATTTTCACGATTGTAATAGATATTGTTATATCTAATTTACAAGGAGTACATTGCTTTATGTGCTTAGATAACATAGTAGTAGTATTCAACTGTCGTTTCAAATAACAAAATCTATATTGGATCTACAGGTGTAGAATACTCAAATATTCAATCTGAGAAATATGAAGATGCCCGCAAAGCTATTGCCTTGGCCACTTAGGTACTAATCGAAATGTAATCGTCAGAGAATCGTCTGAAGTCAAACGAATTCTGTTCTGAACTCGTGTAAGGATATTTATTAAATTTATCAGATGACACCTTACAATCAATCTTTGATTCCTGAAATTCGGAGACTAAATTGAAATATCCACTTTTGTTTTTCGAAAGGAATTAATTTAAAACATGATACATTACAATTTTGTATCTTAATAATGCACGCAAGCTCAAATCAAAGAACGTAATTACCTTGTCTTATTTAAAGTAAATTATCATTGAGATCATTCTGAATACGGTTTCTCAAATTTTTTAATTTTAGTAACAACCTTCGGATTATCGTACAGCTCTCGAATTATCATGAAAGTATAAATTTTTTCTATTTATAAATAATTTTAATTCTAACATTTAATATTTCAAATCATCCAAACATCAATCTCTACGAGTGATGTCAAATGTGGTTAATCGTTATTATTTACGGTTAGCGCGTTGTGTATTTTAAGTCAAAATGACATACAATGAAGGTGTCGTCAGCCGTATTTTGAAAATTGGTAAATTTGAAAAATTGATTTCTGACCGTATTTTGACGTGACAACGTCTTATAATTCTATGGAGCCGGCTGCACAAACGAAAAACATGACTCATGCGGCGTTACCTCGCTCTGAGGCGTTCTATTTAAGGCTTGAAGTGCAAACGAGAGCGCGCAACGAGCGTCAAAGAGGCACAATCGGCCTCCGCGTTCGGCAGCGTTCGACATCTGTCTCTCTCCTACTTGAGTGAGCGATACATCCGCGTGGACAGCTGCTATACAATAATACATTTACATGTTTTCGTCAAGTATGAAGTTCAGTGAAAAGTGAATGTGGTGTCAATTGTCCATACAAAATATCTATCGAACAAATAAAATTAAAATTTTCTTTTGAAAAACGAAACCATTCCATCAGTATTTTCTTACGATGTTTGTCACGTTCAACTATCGTCAGTAAACCGACTTTACAGACAACCGTTTTTTTTTCTTATGAAGACACTCTACTGAGCCGAAGCGCACATAACATACGAAACGGGTGTATTAAATACGATTGCACGTAATAAATGACGTTCGGTTTAATGGTATAATTAAGCGTTTATCGTAATCAACATAAAATACATCTAAGCACTGTCAGAAATTCGACAACGATTATTTTGAACATTAAATAGCGCTTCGTGCTCCCACAAGTTAACGCACGAAATGCCAAGTTGTGAAACACCCGGTAATCTACTTTACGCAATAGATTGATGGCATTATAACAACGCTGGTGAAATGCTAAGAATATAAATACGTTCACATTTATTTCAGCGCTATAACTTGGGACAGGGTTTAGAAGATGTGATACTAGTATTTAATATATTATTTATTTTAGTTATCGATGCTAAATAACTAAGGATAGAGACTTAAATATATTATAGAGTATATAAAAATAAAATTGTTACCAAAAAGAAAATTAAGATATGTAAATGAAGTACTGTCTGAATAAAGGCTATAATATTAATAATAATAATAATAATAATAAGATACTGTATGAATTTATTTATTACTAGTTTGTATGTACTGTATGTATGTATTTGTACTGAATGTACACGTACCGCCATAAATAGAGAGAGATGGAGAAGTCTCTCAAAAGCCGCAATAAGACATACATAACCACGGCCACTCCCCCAAGAGCCCTACGACTAAAAAGAAGAAGAATTACTAGTTTAGGGCGTTTCATAATTTAGAACAATTTCGGTGGGTTCGGGAATGATGACAAAGAGAAAATCATCTACCGAATGTGTGATATTGCTTTGGTAGACCGACGGTCCAAATGTTGTTTGGAACATTAAATTACAAATTTATCTTCAAATTGTCGTAAGCGAGATTTAGGCATCTGTCAAATATATTGTGTTGTATGATGGCTACCAGTAAAATGGAAATCTATCTTACTTACTGGTGATAGAGCCTCTTGTGAGTCCGCACGGGTAGGTACCACCACCTTACCTAATTCTACCGTCAAGCAGTAAAGCATTTCAGTTCGAAGGGTGGGGCAACCGTTGTAACTATACTGAGACCTTAGAACTCATATCTCAAGGTGGGTGGCGGCATTTACCTCGTAGATGTCTATGGACTCCGGTAACCAGTCAACATCAGGTGGGCCGTGAGCTCGTCCACTTATGTATGCAACAAAAAAATTATGTTTAGGCGTTTATCCAAAAAGTTCAAAATAGTATTTCCTTCGGATCTATCGAATCGTAAACATAATTAAAAATACTTTTACGGTTTAATCTCGTGTTTCTATTGTCCTAATTATATTTCCGTTCCTTCTAATACTTTCCAGTTTTAGTGGTCATGGCTTCACCGTCCGACCGACTCGTCTTTTATCATGAAGCCTGTGAAGTTAGAGATACTGACTTTGGCTAAGAATCCAATCCGGACACCGTGACCATTAGTCTACTAATCACTCGACCAACAAGGCGTCAATAGCTCGACCTTCAAGATATATGATTCCACAAGTGTACTAGACCAGTCGAACGGTGACAGACGCGCTCTGTGTATAATGTCATGGCCTCAGAACACTACTAGAAATGTCTGAGCAACAAATAAACGTCCTTGACCAATTGGCGATTGTATCTAATCCGGATTGTTCACATATATAAAGGTAGTTTTAGATCTTAGGTTTTTTATGAGCCCTTTGGAAACAACAAATGGATATAATACAATTTGTAAATGAATACATACATTACTGGTGGTAGGACCTCTTGTGAGTCCGCATGGGTAGGTACCACCACCCTGTCTATTTCTGCCGTGAAGCGGTAATGCGTTTCGGTTTTGAAGGGTGACGCAGCCGTTGTAACTATACTGAGACCTTAGAACTCATATCTCAAGGTGAGTGGCGGCATTTATGTTATAGATGTCTATGGGCTCCGGTAACCACTTAACATCAGGCAGGCTGTGAGCTCGTCGAAAATGCAATAAAAAAAATAAAAAAAAATACGTGATATTATGCCACGCAGACGTAGGTACCGCCATCGTCCCTGTCTCCGCAATAATGCGGTTATATAATTAAGACTTTGACCT